GTGTGGTTAAGATACAGAGTTTAAAAATACATTTTTTTCCTGAAAATTGTGGACATAAGTACAAGAAAAGACAAGATTATTCTTAATTTATTTTTTCCTAATATTTACACTGTACATGAGACAACCAGCAATAGTAGTTTGTTTTACCTCTTACATATTCATTTAGCAGTAGAAATAATAACTTAATACTGAATTATGACTAACCATAACTAACTCTTTTGACTGAATGAACTGAGCACAGAAATACCTCAAGTTTCTTAAATAATAATAATAATAATAATAATTTTTTTTTAATTAGGAAACAGAGGTTTTTTTCCAGGCAATCACTGTAAAAACTGTTAGCTGCCAAAGAACATCTTTATTTCAAACTTCCTATTATACTCCCATAAACCAGCATTATTATGGTGTTAAATGAAAGCAAAACTACTTAGTCTCACAACATTGATGCTCCCCAGCTAGTGACTGTAAACCCCGAGTTCTTCCGAAGTCCCAGCCCACATGAGAACAGCGTCTTGTGACCCTTAGACAGCTCTTTATCAGGTCATACAGAGCAAAGAGCAGCGAGGAGAAGAAATGGAGGATAGAGATAAGAACAAATAGCTCTCCCCACCTCCTTAGAAATATTTATTGCTTCTCTGATTAATGTACTAGTTTCATTTTCCACTACAAAAGTTGATCTGGTCTTAAAGGAGAGGGTGCTGCACATACATTTCTTCCAAAATGATCTGTTAGTACAATGCAGGGAATGTATTGCTTTCCAGGAAAAATGGAATATATGGGTGATATAGGACATTATTAATTGTGTGTACAGATCAAAGGATTACTTATTAACCTGTGATACACCTGAAGACATAAGATTGTTTTCAGAAACAAGAAGCACAAACCAGAAGCAAGTACAATGAATAACCTTAATTACTTAAAAGGACAGTTTCTATGCTCCTGCTTAGTTTCATTTCTGTTAGGACTGACCACGAAAAAGCTGGCAAACTTGTCAAAAACCTAAGTCAATAATTCTAATAATTAATTCTATAATATAATATTAATTCTAATAATAATATTATGTCACTCCACATAACCGGTTTGCTGAGAATACACATGAAAACATTTAAGAAACAGTAGGAGCAAAGAGGTAAAGGTGGTCTTGGAAGACAGTCTGTGGTAGCACCCAGCGCTGGCTGTACTGGGAGAAGCCCCACATACCGACGTTACTCAGCCCCATTACTCTGGTAAGTGATCTGTGACTCGACTTTGGGTGAACATCAAGTAGAGTCAGCATACTGATGACGTAATGTGCTTTCACAGAGATCCACCAGTGTACGCAGGCAGGAGAACTGTGTGTAAGCGTTTACGGTCACTCTCCTCTCACCCCTCTGCTTGGGAAGACCTGCGAAGGCTGGGAGCTTAATGGTGGCGACTTACAAGGTGCAAGTACGCCTGTGTTTTGGAAGTGGGACCGAGGAGCAGATGATTAAATTAGGGTATGTGAGTATTGCAGAGGTGATGTTGTAGTAACGGACGTGAAGGGTGGGAACTGTGGTAGGGGGCAGGTGCGCTTTATGGAGGTAACAGCTGCACGGCTCTACACGTGCCGGCGACGCAGCGCTGCTCGGCCCTCTGGCTCCCTGAAGGCGTGTGCCACTAGGAGGGCGCGAAGGCCCGAGGGGCCTCAAGCCGAGCGGGGCGGGCCTTGCCGTCCCCCGCGGCCGGCGCC